CGCAAATGGCTACCATATTGAAAAATATACTATTTTTGTATGATAATTATGGGTTTTGTATTTTATTTTAATAGACGTTGATGTGGCTTTTGCAATTATCCATCAATTTTTTAAAATTAAACACTATCTACAGATTTGCATCGAAGCGTTTCTTATGATAGTGATTTTAATCACTGTCAGATTAAATCTATACTGGACCCNCGTTTCTTATGATAGTGATTTTAATCAATGTCAGATTAAATCTATACTGAACCCAACTATGCAATGTCTCCACTATTTTTACACATAGCATTAGTGTTGATACAGTGCATTTAATTATTAAAATTAAAATAATGTTACTAAATCTAGTTTTATGAATAAATGTCTTATTTATATATGAATTTTACGATAAAATTACTATAACGTAATAAATATATTTCTATTTTTTTATATATAAATAGGTTTCTAAGGCTGCTCTTTCACTGGAATGTGTACTTAAGACATATAATGAGGCTTTTATAATATTGTAGTTTACAAAAATCAATAATAATAAATGGTGAATTGTAGAGAATCGATCGAATCTGCGGAATATTTTGTTTTTTTCCACATTAATGTAAAATTTGATAGTCAACTCATGTTGACTAAAATTTAGTTTTACGACAACAACGTATTTTGAATTATTTTTGTAGTTATGTTTTTTAACGGAGGTTTGGATGGTTGGAATACGAAAAAAACATCTGTGCAAATGTACTTGACAGATATCACGTGAATTTATAGGAGTAAAAATTTAGATGGCTAAAAATGTTTACTTACAGAAATTAGTTTATTGATTAAAATTAAAAGTATATTTGAAACGTTAGTTTAAAACTAAACAATATTTAACTGAAAAAGCCAAAAAGATTACTTAAAAATCGCGTATACGTATTTCGGGAACAACGTTACCAACATCAGCGTTAAATACATACTGACAGATAAATACAATATGCTAGAAATGATCAATGGTTTTCATATTATTTTGTGAAATGTTAAATCTTAACAAAAAAATTAATCAATTTACACTCGATCACCAAATTAATTACTTTACCCAAACGGCAAGCGATTGATAAAACTTCGTACTTATTTATTGTGAAATTGTCGCACAGTTATAAAATTGAAATTAAAAAAATTATACTAATTTTTCTAAAAC